CGAAATACACCAACGGAAGGTTTGAACACCTCCCCAGCGCAGCGTATGTTCGGGCGACGTACCCGAACCCACCTACTCACCGCCGAAACACTGCTGAAGCCGTAGACTCCGGACGCAACTACAACGAGAGAACAGATACTCAGAATGAGAGGAAAACAAGCCTTTAATGGATAGAGCGCTGGACTGTCGTGCGGGAACTCGAGGGTTCGAGCCCCGACCGGACCAACACTCAGGGTCTTAAAATAATTAAGAATTTGCTACCTATCTATGACATCAAGAAACGGTTAGATACTTTAGTCTTCTCGGATAGGGACAAATAAATGGAGTTCCCGTCTCCTTCAAGGTTGGGGTAGGAGACGTTAATTTCCCAAACACGAGATTACTGTGTGATGGATGTCCTCCCCTGGGGTGGGATGGGTGGGTCAAAAGAGGGCCACAGGATTATCAGTTTAACTACTGTCACGTGCTACCCATTTGAAATAAAGTCTCTCTCTCTTCTATCAAGACAAGAACTCCAAAGAGCTCCCACCATTGGTTAAAGGGGAAAGTGTCAGAGTTGTCCCACTGCCCGGTGATAGGAACCAGAAGTGGTTCAAAGCAGAAGTAGATGAAACAGCTGATATAAGCTCTTATAATGTTAGGACAGAAGACGGAAGAATTCTCCGCACAAACCGTAGACACCTTCGCAGGAGCAGAGAGCCATTTTGCTGGCCCCAAAGTAGTGAGGTTCCAACAGACCTACACAACAGTATTCACCCTCTACACAGAAAGCCCAAACCCCTCAGTTACCTAAAGATCAGTCAATACCAGTGATGCCAACTCGAGAGGACCAGCCCGGACAGTCAAGCACATGCCGTGTGGTAACACTAACAAAGGGCCCAGCCTCCGAGCGCCACAACCAACAAGCCTCAACCAGGCGAATCTGTGACCACACGGGCTCGACACGTATCACATCCCCCCGCTTACTTAAAGAACTATGATTAAACGCTCTGATCTGCTCAACATAGGAGACTGTAAAGTTTTAAGTAGGACTTTGAACACTTCAGAGTTTTCCAATTGCTGTTCATGCTGTTGTTTCGTTCTGGCTAGTTTTTCATGCTCGTGCTATACAGTGTCCTTAAGGAGAAAAGGTGTCATGGTATGCCTGTGGTCTTGCGTCAAGTGACTCGCAGAAAACCATGTGCTTCAAGTTGTTGTTCTGAGGCGGCCATTAAAACCTGTTATCTATTGCCTTTAGCGTCTTTCTTTAGTATTTGGGACCACAATCGTTACAGTCTTAAAGTAGATAATTTCTAAAATAGATTTGGGTAGAAAACTTATACATCTCAGCATTTTAACTTTCATGTGAAATGAAGAACAAGTAAATTTGATATGTTGAGACCATGATAATTTGTCACGGATTGTAACTCCCAGGCACACAGAGGAGGATATATACCAAATGATGTCCTCACCCCAATTCAGAGGTTTCATAGGATCTAGGAAGGGCTTACTGCTTAAAATCATCGCTTCGGATTTACCTTCCTAGACAACCAGTCTGTTCTCAAGACTCCAGGAATAAACCTGGTCTTAAGACTTCCTGTAAAATTATGACAATATCATTAACAGAATTCCCTATAACATAAATTGTGGTATCGTCTGCATACATATATAAATCCCCCACTGGTCACATGATCAGGTACATCATTAACAAACGTAGCAAACATTCTAGGGCCTAGCAAAGATCCTTGAGGAACTCCAACTCTAACAGCTTTTAGATATGATATAACATTAATAACTTGAGTCCTTTGCATACAGTTGGTGAGATAATGATTGATCTAGCTCCACATATCACCCAATACAGGGACTACTTTTAAGTATTTAATATGCAGTAAATGGTTTGAACCTGGAGGTAAAATTTGAAAGCTTAAGTGTAATGTGACCATTCGGGTGGGCGTGGTCCTGGGAAGGACTGTTGTCGGTGGTGCTGTGTGACGTTTTGACAACCTGTGAGGAAGTCATCATCAGAGTCGAGTGAGTAGTTGTTGTCAGGAGAATGTTCTTAGTCCAGTTTGTGTGAAATGATTGGTCAGTTTTGCCGTGATGTTATTGGCTTTTAGACTTAAGTGGTGTAAGTTGGTCGTGATTGGTTTGTTTCGATCCGCCAGTAAAGTTAGGTCATTCTGTTCAGTTCGTTTGTAATGTTAATGACGTGAATGAGTCGTCTGTATGAAGCCGGTAGTTGACACCTGTTTAGGGGGAGTCTGTTCTAAGTTAGTAAACCAGCTTTCCAGAGTCAGTCCTTGAAAGTAGGTAGTGCTGAAGGTTAGGCATTAAAAGAGTTCCTGTCAGTATTGTGGTTCGTAAGTCGATGATGTTCAGCAATGTGATTGTTGACATCACCTTTCCTCGTGGCCTGTCTGTGTTCAGTCAATCTTGTTGCGAGGTTTCCACCAGTCTCTCCGATGTAAGAGGCTTGGGCAGTCGGAACAATTCATCTTATAAATCGCTCCATGTCCGTTCCTTGGTTCGTCCTTGTCTTTAACGTTGGTTAGTAACTGATGTAGTGTGGTGGTGGGTTTGTGAGCTATGTGGATATTGAAGGGTTGTAAGATGCGCAAGATGTTCTCAGACATGCCTTTTATGTACGGTATGCTTGCTGTAGTCATAGGAGTTGCGGTATCATTTGTTTCGATAGTAGTAGCTTGGTCAGCGAGTGTTTCGTCATATGAAGTCGTCATTGTAGTTGTTCTTTGAATAAACAAGGTAAAGGTATTTGTTCTCATCGGATAACCTGTCTGTTGTGTTGCAAACTAGTTGCCCGCATGTGTTAGAGTTATGATAGTTGTGGCTTTGTGTGATGTAGGGTTGTAGGATGACTCATCTTGTAATCTGTCGGTATGTGTTGGTTTCCTGTAAACTGTCTTCCATAGCGAGTTGTCATCACGGCTTACCAGACAGTCTAGAAAAGGAAGTTTGCCATTTTCTTTGACTTCTCTGGTAAACTATATGTCAGTGTCTTTTCCATTAAGGTGGTGGTGGAATGCGTTGATTTTGTTGTGTCGTGAGGTGGTAAATGTGTCATCAATGTAGCGTAACCAAAGTGGTATCGTTTGTGGGCAAGTCGATGGGCCCTTTCGACCTGCCTACAGACGATACCGCTTTGGTTGTGCTGCGTTGACGACACATTCACTGCCATACGACACAACAAAATTGACGCATTCCACCACCACCTTAATGGATAAAACACTGACTTACAGTTTACCAGAGAAGTCAAAGAAAATGGCAAATTTTTTTTTCTACACTGTCTGGTAAGCTGTAACGACAACTCACTACAGACAACAGTCTAAAGGAGACCAACACACACCGACAAATTACTGGACAAGTCATCCTACAACCCTACATCACACAAAGCCACAACTATCAGAACTCTAACAGGATGCACGCAACTAGTATGCAACACGACAGACAGCTTATCTGACGAGAACAAATACCTTTTTCATGTTTTTTCAAAGAACAACTACAATGACGAGTTCATCTGAAGAAACACTCACCGAGCTACTACTACTACCGAAACAAAAAACACCACAACTCCTATGACTACAGCGACCATACTATACGTAAAAGGCATGTCTGAGAACATCTTGCGCATCTTACAACCCTTCAAAATCCGCGTCGCCCACTAACCCACACCACACTACATCGGTTACTAACCAACGCTAAAGACAAGGTCGAACCAAGGAACAGACATGGAACGATTCATAAGATCAATTGCCCCCACTGCCAAGTCTCACACATTGGAGAGACTGGCAGAAACCTTGCAATAAGACTGAGTGAATAAAGACAGGCCACGAGAATAGGTGATGTCAACAATCACATTGCTGAACATCAACTTACTAACCACAATATTGACTGGGACTCTCACAATGCTTAACCTACAGCACTAACTACTTTCAAGGACTGCCTCTGGAAAGCTCGTTTATCAACTTAGAACAGACTCCCCTAAACAGGTGTCTACTACCGGCTCCATACAAACGACACATTCACGACATTAACACTACAAACGAACCGAACAGAATGAGCTAACTTTACTGAGGGATCGAAACAAACCAATCACAACCAACTTACGCCACACGAGTCTTACAGCCAATATCACGGAAAAACTGACCAATCATTTTACACAAACTGGACTAAGAACATTCTACTGACAACAACAATTCACTTGAGTCTGATGATGACTTCCGCATAGGTTGTCGAAACATCAGTCACCAACACCACCAACAATCCTTCTAAGGACTACAATCACCCGGACGATCACACAACACTGTCGGGGACTGGGGTACATATTACGTAATTATGTAACCCGTGACAACGGAAGCACGTGCTTATTATTGGGAGCCTGCCCACCCTTTTAAGTTGTTAATTCAAATCTATTGCATAGAGAGTTAGATTGATCGTGATTGTGCGAAGACCTTGTGAATCTTGCGATTATTAAACACGTTAAACATCAAATTTGTGACTTGTCTTGGATACTGTCTCCAGCGGCCGGAGGAGTCCAGCAAACGTGGCGACCGCGATGGGACGATTGTGAGTATAATTTATGTCCTCAATTTACCTTTAAGCTCTCGTTTACATCTGCAACGAAGCCTACGCCTAATTAACCTCGAAATCGAACGAATCATGGAAAACGCCGAATCTACTCTGGAAACAAAACTTAAGCAANACGCTTCTTGGATGGACCTTGATGTCACCGGGAAGAGAGGATGTTGGTAGTCCTGCGCTCCTAACGCAGTCAGCCTTAACAGATTATGAGCAACTGTGTGCCCTGGACGCACTTGGCCTCGCTGACACTTATGAGAAAGACCAACAGGCAGTTTACGATGAATTCAAAGAACAGCTTGAGAGAAACCCAGCCGGCTGGTACCAAACAAGGTTGCCATGGAAAGGGACCCACCCTACACTGCCAACAAATGAAACTGGAAGTAAGAGAAGATTGGAGCAATTAGTCCGGAAAATAGAGCGAAATGGTCAATACGAAGAGTACGATTCAAGAACAACCTCAACAAGGAATTGTGGAGCCAGCACCTGACATTCCAACTGGAAAAGAGTACTATATCCCGCATAAAGGAGTTGTCAGAGAGAATGCTGAAAGTACCAAGCTCCGAATTGTGTACGACGCGTCAGCAAGAGAGAAGGATAACCAGCCATCCTTAAATGACTGCCTCCACCCAGGGCTTCCACACCAGAACCGTCTGTGGGACATCCTCGTAAGATCGAGATTCTACCCAGTACTTCTAACGGGTGATCTTAAGAAGGCATTTCTGCAAGTTCGAATAAAGAAAGAAGAAAGAGATTCCTTACGTTTCCACTGGAAACCCCCAAGCAGTTCCAAAACCACCATCCTTCGTTTCACCCGAGCCCTATTCGGAATGACGTACTCACCATTCCTCCTCGGTGGAGTTATCAATAAGCATCTCAACACTTGGGAAAGTCATCACCCCAAGCTGATTAAAGAAATTCGTGATGGTCTATATGTTGACGACCTAATGACCGGTGGCGAGACCGTCGAGCTCACTGCAGTGAAGAAAGTCATAACCACAGAAGTGTTTAAAGACGCCACATTCACCGTTCACAAATGGCACTCTAACGCCTCAGAACTAGAAACAACCAGTGACCCATCATCTGAAGAGTTGTCATATGCTAAACAGCAACTTGGAGGAACAAAACCCTCAGAAGGCAAACTGTTAGGCCTTCCCTGGAATAGAGAAGAAGACACGATTAGCGTCATCATCCAGAGCGACCAGACCGAAACGACCAAGAGAGGAGTGCTGTCTCACCTAGCCAAAATCTATGACCCTCTGGGACTAGTGTCACCGGTAACACTTATTGGCAAACAGCTCTACCGCGACATTTGTGACAGCAAAGTATCTTGGGATACTCAACTTCCAGGACCGTTTCTGAAACGCTGGAAGGACTAGAACAAGACACTAACCGAGAATTTGACAGCCCAGCGAGCACTTCCTCCCTTCCAGCAACCGATTTTGAGCGTCACATTACACGCATTTGGTGATGCTAGTACAAAGGGCGTCAGTGCTGCAGTCTACGCTGTCGTCCATCAAGATCAAGGTGTCACTCAGCAACTAATTTCCGCGAAGTCAAGACTCGCAAAAAAGTCTCTAACGATACCAAGACTCGAGCTTGTGGCAGGTCATATGGCCGTTAACTTGGTAGCCAACGTACAAGCAGCCTTAAGTGTCCAATCATACAGCACCCATTGCTGGCTTGACTCAACTGTGGCACTCTACTGGATCAAAGGTCAAGGGGAGTATCGGCAATTCGTATCAAACCGAGTGAACAAGATCCAACAACACGAGTACGTCAGTTGGCATCACGTCCCAACCGAAGACAATCCAGCAGACCTAGGGAGTCGAGGAGGGAATGTGGTCGATAACAACCTCTGGAATCATGGTCCAACCTGGCTTAGTGATACTGCAAAATGGCCACCTGACATAATACTCGAACCTACGCCCGAAACCATGACTGAAGCCAAAGTGAAACGAGAAGTTCTCTCTGTTGCCGTTCCCAAACAAGATGCTCTACACCACGTACTTATTAACCACCCATTACCAAGAGGTCTACGAATTGGAGCTTGGGTCTGGCGATTTGTCCATAACTGCAGAGGAAAACCACTGAAAAGGAGTGGTCCAATCAACACTGAAGAGATTCAACAACAACAGCTTTTTTGGATCAAACAAGCACAACAATCGGCGCTCCAGCTAGCCAATTTTGAAGAAGACAAACTGCAGTTAAACCCTCAGTACAACGATCAGAAAGTCTTAGAATGCCGAGGACGTATAATGGGAGAATATCCGATCTATCTGCCAGATGAGCATCCCTTCACCGCGAAGTTGGTCTTTAATGCCCACCTTTCCACCCTGCATGGAGGGGTTGGGCTCACCATGGCAAAGATACGCGAGAAATACTGGGTACCCCGCCTACGACGCCTGGTAAAGAAGCTAAGAGGTAGCTGCTACGGGTGCAAAAGATTCTGAGCAAGAGCCTACCAAGCACCACCGCCAGGGAATCTACCCCAAACCAGAACAGAAGGTTCAAGGCGTTTTCAAGTGATAGGAGTTGACTTCGCAAGACCAATACGCTACACGTCAAGAGCCAAATCCGAAAGCAAGGCCTATTTAGTATTGTATGCTTGCAGCCTGACTAGAGCATTTCACCTTGACCTGTCAAAATCCCTGGAAACATCAGGGTTCATATCGAGCCTCAAGCGGTTCATAGCTCGAAGAGGGAGACCGGAAATGATCTATTCCGACAATGGATCCACTTTCAAGGCCGCCGACAAATGGTTACTACAGGTGCAAAAGGACGAAAGGTTCCATGAGATCCTAGCTGGCCTGGCCATTAAGTGGCGTTTCAACCTGAGTCGCGCCCCATAGTGGGGAGGTCAATTCGAACGCCTTATTTGCCTATTCAAAGGTGCCTTCTACAAAACGATTGGCAATGGGACTGTCCGCTGGCCTGAATTGGAACAAGTAGTACTTGACGTCGAAGTAGCGCTCAACAACAGCCCCTTGAGCTACCTCGAAGACGACATCCAGCTTCCAGTGCTGACGCCTAACTCCATGCTGAGCATCAACCCGAATTACCTCACAGAACTACAAGCACACCATGAACCAGAAGACGATTTGAGAAAAAGGGCTAAATTTCTACTGAAGTGCAAGGTGTTATGTGGAAAAGATGGACAGCAGAATACATGAGAAGTCTACGAGAGAGCCACCGTAGAGCAGGAGGAAAGCAAATGCCCCATCCTAACATCGGAGATGTCGTCATCATTCGAGGTGATAGCAAAAACCGTAACCAATGGAAACTGGCAATTGTCATCGACTTCATCCGAGGAAAAAATAGCATTGTTAGAGCCGCTAAGTTGAAAGTAGGCAAAGACCACCTCGAGCGTGCAACCCAACACCTTTACCCTTTGGAGTTAGCATGTACCCAATGGCCATCGAGTTCAACGCTCAACCCCATCTGCCCCCGAGTTCCAGGCAAGGCCACGAAGGGATGCTGCTAGGCCTTTCTCGATTGTGCTAGCATTTTTTTCGGCATTTTTTGGGAAAACCAGCATTTTTTTTCGTTTTTTCTTGAAAAAGAATTGCTAGCATTTTCAGTCATTTTTCATGACTGTGATCCAGATTTCAGCACTCAGAAAGATAAATAATCCTAAAGTTTCACAATTTTGATTGTTTTCTGTCTGTTTCGACTGTTTGTGCGTTGTGTTACTTGTGTT